TTACTAAAATATGCTTTTTTTATTAGAATTTAATTGTGATTCAATCATTATTATAATATCTTCATTTATTGATTTTGGCATCAATTTTCAAGTGCTTTCATCTCTAATAAAAAATCTTCTTAATAAGTAATAATATCTAAATATTCATGTCCATCATAATAAATATTTTTTTTTGTTAACTTGAAAAAACTAACCCAGTTTATTAAGTCAAATATGTGTAGTATTCTCACTAATATTTTTTTTTGTTCAATTCTAATTGCTAAGAAAATAGTTTCTTTTACATAAATTTTAAAGTTTTTAATTGTTACTACATAACTCTTATTATGCAAATATTTTAAAATCATTTTATGTATATTTCATTCTATAAAAGGCTTTTAATTTTTTTATATTAATTACATTTAAATATTAGAATTATTTTATTTTTCAAAAATTTTTTATTCAAGTACGAATTAATTCTGCTTGATATTTTCCTTTACCAATACTTTTAACAATAATTTAATTTGCATTTATTACTTTATATCCTATTTTATAAATTGAAAAATGAGTTATAATCAATTTTTACTTTGAAATGAAAGAATTTTATTATTGAGAAGAATTTTTAAATCTAATAAAACTGAATTAAAATCCATATTTATAGTTTGATTTTCAGTATTATTAGGTTCTGAATCAACTGGATCTTTATATTAAAATTTAAAAAATGAGGTTAATGGTTTTGAATTTTATGTAGCAATTTTCTGTTCTATTCTTAATATTGAATTCTTGAAGAATTTTCAGTATAAGAAATAAGTTGAATTATTTAAAAAATATTAGGTTTTTTAGCAGTTATTAATATTGTTTTAAAAGTCGTCAAAGAAAATTTATTAAGTATATCTTTAAACTCATTATCATTCTATTTAATATCCTCAGATTCACTATCTGTTAATTGCTTATTTTCTTTATCTTCATTATTTTTACTGTCACTTAATGAAATATTCTTTTCAGTTTGTTACTTTTCTAATAATTATTTCTGTTTTTTTATACAAGCAAGTTTAAGTTGTACTTTTCTTTTTTTAGAAGACATATTCAGGTTGCAGGTTATAAATTAAGCGAAAAATTTTTAGTATACGAGTTAAAAATTAAGCAACACAAAAAAGATTTTCTATTCTACTAATTTTATACCATAAATTTAGCCAGAATTATTGAATACAACTTAATTCCAGTCTAATTTATGATGGTCAAATTTTTCAATTTTAATATAAAATATATATATAATTAGACAATCTAAAAATTGACAGATCTTATGATAAAATTATTCAATTGGAAAAAACTCTCTGTTATTTTAATTTTAAGGTAACAATTTATTAAATAATAGGATTAAATTTTATCATAATAGCAAAGAATTTTTTTTTATTTATTTAAATTACTCTTTAAAGTTATCTGACTTTAGATTGTATACTGTATATATAATTTTTATAATATATATTATACTTTTTTTTCTATATATATTATATATTTTTAAAATATATATTTTCCTTATAATTTTTATATACATATTTTTTTATAGAAAGTTATATCTTCTATTTATATTAATACATACTAAAATTTAATTAAATATACTATTAAAGTAATATAAAGTTATTAAGATTATTCTATTTTTCATAAATTATATTAAAAAAATTTTATTTGAAATTTTTTTTTATACAATCATTTTTTTAATTTTTAATTATTTTTTTTTAAAATAATTCAAATATTTTTAATTAGATTAAGATTTAGATTATAAGAAAATTAAGAAAGAATCTGATTTAAAAAAATAAATTTTTAAATCTCTTTTAATATTTTAAAAATATCTTTTAGATTATTATTTTACTAAAAAATTAATTATAATCTAATAAATTATTAGTATTATTATAGATAATCATTAGAATTTAATAGTATAAATAACAATTAAGATATTTTTAAAAATAAACATACTGACCTTCTCTTTAATATTGATTTCAGTTTAAACATGTATTTTAAAAAGATGCATAACTATAGATTAAATAGAATTCTTATTTTTAGATTATATTAAAGAAGTATTATATAATATTTAACTTATATTCTCATTAAAAAAAATCATTTTTTTAATTATAATATAAATGATCATATATTTAAAATAAATAATTGTTTTTTACTTTCTAAATCATAAAAGAAACTTTTTGAAAAAACTGCTATATAATAAAGATAATAAAATTCTTATTAAATAGTTATTTCATTAATCTTTAAATTCAAATCCTTTTTTTTAAATATAATCTTTAATTCTTTACTATAGTGAAATAATCATTCTTAATAATTATTTTGATATAATAATATTTTTAGAGCATTAATTTTTATGATTGACTAGATTAATAAATTTTAGAAATATTACTATTTTTTTATAAAAAGTTAACATATTCTTCATAAAATTATAAAAGAACTCTAGTTCAAATGAAAATTCCCTTACATTATATATATTAAAAACTTTACAACTTTATATTTTGTCTTAATAAATGTTAATAGTATTGTAAATTTAGTAGTAATACAAAATGTTTTTAATTATTTTTTTATTGTTTATATATTCTATTATCTAATTTAACTTAAAAAATAATAGACTTAATTAAAATAATAGAGATATTACAGTTAAATAATAATTTTATAATGTTATTTATCATAAAATATCATATAAATAAACATCTAATGTAAAATTTTATTTTTTTTTAATATCAATAATTTTTTTTTATGCTAAAATATATTTAAAATTAATATTAATTTAATTTTTATTTTTTGATAATTTTTCTCTGATCTAACTAATTTAATTTAAAATAATAATTATTAATTTAAAATAATTGATTTTATTTTTTTATTTGAAAAAAAATCTTTTAATTATATAAAATGAATCAGTTAATTTATTCTAACAATTTATATTCCATTTATTTTAAAGAAACTTCTAATATAAAATCTTAAATATGTTGTAATATAAATAATATATAGAAAGATGAAATAGTTTAAAAATTTTGCAAAAGATTATTGGTAAATTATATTTATTAATGATAAAGTAATTATTAAAATACTAATTGATCCTAAATTCTAATATAATAATATCAATAAAATATTTACTAAAAAATGGATTTATACTAGGATGTATGGATCAAAATATCCTATATTAAAATATCTCCTAAATCAAAAGATAAATGAAAAGGTATCTTTGATATTAAATAAATAAAACATAAGCTAAAATATAAAAAAAAATAGCTTATTAACAATTTTAAACTAGATGGAAAAGAAATTAATTACCTATTCTAGTTTTTCTAGCAATCCCAAAAATCAGAAATTTTTACTTTTTTAGATACATTATCTTAGAAATTTTTGATATATAATATAATATAATATATAATATTTTAGAAATATACTGAGAATGTATTGAATGTATTGTAGAATATATAATAAAAATGTAATCACAATTGCAATGCATATGGTATATGCGGTCTTCATCAAATAAAAACACATCATCTTACTTAATAATTTATTATGTAACAAGAAGCCTCTAAAATTTCAGACTTTGAGACGTAATAACTTGGTATCTAAGATTAGTAAAATTTTAAACGGACTTAAAAAATAAGCTAATATAATTTTCTATTCGAAAAAAATCAAAAATAAATAAATGAATTTTGGTTATAATTTAGGGAATGTATGAGAATCCCGAGCATAAATTTGCTTTATAACTACAATTCCGACTAGAAAGTATAAAGCATTTGAAGAACTCTGCTCAAAAGAACATTTGTCATTATTACCAAAAAAAAAAAAAAACTTTATTCAATTTTCCAAAGTTTTGTGACAATTTCTTCTCGTTATTTTATCTCGGGAAAAAATTATTGTAGATTTTTTTTTCGGGCGATCATGTAATATTTCATTTCACAAGGGACAAAGTAACGATTAATTATTTTTCATGAGAGTCTTCCTTTACAATTTTATTAATCCTAATATTTTTTAAAAAAAACAAACTTGTTTTTTTTTTTTTAGTTTGTTTTTTTTTTTTGTTTTTTTTTGTATTTTTACAAATTATTTTAAAAAAAGTAAACTATTTACTATATAGAGTTATTGTGAGTTAAAATTTTTAAAATTTTTTCTTTTTTCAAATGAAAAAAGAAAAATTCATAAGAAATCCTTAAAAAAATAAAGGGTAAGCGTAATTGCTAAAAATATATACTAAATTTCATAATGCAATATACTGTCAAGCATATATAACAAAAATTTACAAAAAATTTACATAAATAAAAAATATAATATTATTTTAAACAAACTTCTCTCAAAATAGAATTAACTAGTAAGAGAAGTGAATTTTTTTTTTTTTTTTTTTTTTGCGTTGATTGCGTTGACTAAAACGCTTGTTCTTACTTCTTTCAATACAATTATATACGATCTGTTTTGAGTATGCGTTAATTATTGGCCGACGTTGAAAGAAATAAACGCATATTATTTCATTTAAAAAGGACACAATAAATACTTCTTCCCTCATATATCTCAATAAAGAGAACCAATGTAAAAAAAATTTAGGTATAACCATTAACTTTTTTTTTCTCCTCCACTCCTTTTCTTTTCAAAAAAAAGGAAATCCTCTCCTTTGATATGTAAGTGAAAGAGGAATAATGGTAAAAAGATAAAGAAAAAGAAAAGAAAAAAAAAGGGAAGGGAAGGGAAGAGGAGTTGTGATTTTTTTTTGTGTGAGAAAAAAAAGGTCGACACGACATGCTTTTTATTATTATTTGTGATTTTTTTTTTTTTTTAAAAAAAAAAATTAGTAATTAAAGTAAAAAAAAACCTCAAAAAAGATATATATAATGCATTGAAAAGAAAAAAAAATTTTTTTAATTTTTTTTTGCCAAATTTATAAAACCCATTTCCAAAATATAAAAAATATTAACATCTAAAGAAGAATTCGTTAAAATACAAATGTAGAAAAGTTAATTTCACACTTAATATTTTTTTTTTCTCCAAAGTTTTTTTTTTTATGCGAGAGAAGATTCCACAATAACTTGAGTGACACGGTAAGCATCAATATTAGATGCCGGACGTCTGTCTTCCAAATACCCTTTCCCTTCGGCGGCAACATGTCTCGGTATACGAATTGAGGCACCGCGATTGGCTACACCATAAGAGAATTGCGATATGTGACCGGTCTCATGTTTACCCGTTAGACGTTGATCGTTGTCTTCACCATATACAGCTATATGCTCCATGTGACGGGCTGCCATCTTATCGATAGCATCGTGTATTGCTTTTATTCCTCCCTCTTCTCGCATTGCTTTTGTTGAATAATTTGTATGACAACCGGCACCGTTCCAATCACCTTTTATTGGTTTAGGATGAAAAGATACGACAATACCGAAATCTTCGGCAACCCGTTGTAAGAGGTACCTTGCAACCCAAAGATGATCTCCCATGTCAATTCCTTCACAAGGACCGACTTGGAATTCCCATTGTCCGGGCATCACTTCTGCATTTACACCCGATATATTTATTCCGGCGTAGAGACATGCACGATAATGAGCTTCGACAACATCACGTCCGAAAGCAACATTTGCACCGATGGAACAATAATAAGGTCCTTGAGGACCCGGGAAACCTCCTATTGGCCAACCAAGTACGGAACCATTCATATCAAATAAGGTATATTCTTGCTCAATCCCGAACCATGGTTTGGCATCAGCATAAGCTTTCATAACTTTTGCGCAAGAATAACGATAATTTGTCCTGTTGGGAGTTCCATCGTTATTGTAACATTCATTCAACACCAAGATGTTGTCACCACCACGGAAGGGATCCTTAAATATGGCAACGGGTTTCAACAAAATATCGGAATTGTCGCCAGGAGCTTGATTGGTGGAAGAACCATCGAAATTCCACTCTTTTAACTCGGAAACGTCAGTGGGTTTAAAATCAAGAGTTGTGGTCTTTGAACGGAGGCCGCTATCACCATCAATCCAAATGTATTCGGCTTGGACCTTACCGCCTTGATCGAGAGAAATGTATTTTTGGAGGGTTTGAGTGTTGGAAGTATTGGTAATAGAAGACATTTTTTCTTAATAGATTTTTTTTTTGGAAGAAAAAAAAAAACGAGTTTTTTTGAGATTGATTGTTTGGGTATGATTCGTTAAAAATTGAAAATTATAAAGTCGTAAAAATAAAGGAAATGAGTTTTGGAAACAATTTGGACAAATTGCGTATTGTTTAAGAATATATTTTTTAAAGCTATTATAAAATTTGTTTGAAAGAAACTGTAGAAAAGGGATGGTGAAAGTTGAGGGTTTTTATATTGAAAACAAAAGTATTATTTTTAGAAAATCGTTCAATAGGATGAATTAGGGATGCTAGCGAATAAGGCTGAGACTCTAGATTCTTGGCATGGGATTGGCAAAAACTTGTCGATTGTAATAAATAAAATGGGAGTTTTTTTTTCCAGAGATTTTGCCGATTATAAAAATAACTGAATTATTGTGACCACATATGATGACTCATCAATTATCGTTACAATTAATGTTAATTGTACATCAGCTACAAGTAATCTAAAATAGACTAAAATCAATACATGTCAAAAATATCAAATTTTCTTTAGAGAAATGTCTCACGGTTGATAAGAGCCAACTTTCTACAAAAACGGTTAGCTGATGACTTATCTCGAGTTTGACAACCGGAAGCAAGCAATGTAACATTAGGGAAAAAAGGGGGAAACTAAACTTGAAAATTTTTAATTCTATCTGTAGCCTTAACCTTTTGGAACAAGAAAAAAAAAAATTTGTTTGTTGTTTGCTGTGCGTAATCAGATCTAGATTATTCGACAAATGAAAAAAAAAGTCTATAATTTTTTTTTTTTTTTTTTTCATGGGGATGATAAACAAGATAAAGTGCAGCAATCCTAACTCCTTTTTTTTTCCTACAAAACAAAAGGTTCTCTGCTTGTAATAGGATGGGGTACATTGAAATCAACCAATCGATTCTAAAATTATAATCCAATCGTACATAAAAAAGGTGCATATCCATACATAATAAATAACCAAATTTCGTTAGGGTGATGTTGTATTTAGATATTCAAAAAAATGTAACGTCCAATGTTTTTCGGGCTGAAACATCCGAATTTAACTCATTTTTGGTTTTTCCGGCTGTACCCTTCCTTTCCTACTAAATTCAAAAAGAGTTGAAATCGCTACAATCTTTTTTTATTTATTTATACGAGGTATATTTAAAATTAATTACGTATGCATTACATTAATTAATTCGCGCCAGCTTTGAAGCTACTTGTGCAAAACAGAGCCCGGTAAATTGCGCCATTTATTGTTTATACCTTGTTCGTACAATTACCCTTATCGAAAACAAATAAACAAAGTCCTTTATTAAAGTTTTGTTTGGTTCTTTATTTGGAGTATCTCCTTATTTTGATAAACTTATCATTATAATAATTCTTTTTTTGGATAAATTTTCCTCTTTAAATTAATTTATAATTTAATTATGATCATCTAATAATAAGGAAAGACGCGTTGTACATGTAAATTCTTTATGTCGCTTGTATTATTTATAGTTAAATCAAATCGAAAAATCGAAGGGCACGTAGATAAGGTTGATAAGAAGATTTTCATAAAAAAAAAAAAATTGGATTATATGGTAATGATATGGTAGATCCGGAGGAAAAAAACTATTTAGAGAATCGTGCACCTTTCAAAAAAGTCAAGAAAGGACACTTTGGAATGAAATTGGGTAGAATTCAATTGGTAAATTTTCGCGATCTCAAATTATTCCTTTTTACGTCCCTTTCTTCATTGAAAGATTTTTCCTTGATTTCTCTTTTTTGGCAGTCTCTAATATAATTTTCTTTGGAAAAAATATTATTATTTTTTTTTTGTGTAGATACAACGTGTCTTTGACACTTATTGGTGCGATTCGAACATTAGGTTATTCGAATCTTCATCGGTTGTGCATTACGATATCTAATAAGTTTATGAACATGTATATATAATAGTTCTATTATTTATCTGAAATTAAATTGCATAGGTCAAAAACTAAAGATGATGGTGATAAAAAATTTTTTTTTTCTCGACACGTTAAAGATGTTGGGTTATGTGCAAATTAAAGAAACATAATTTATATAATAGGATGAATTTGGGGTTTGATGCATGTTTCTCCGCTTTGTCCACTTTATTCACGTGATTCGTCTACGAAATATATTGCGCCATATATCAATTTGTAATTTTTTTTATGAAATTAAAAATAAACGTTTTATTACTACGCGAGATAGACAAATATATACAAAAGTCCAATCAATATATATAATCAACTTTTATTATTATCATTTGAAAAGAAAATATCAATGCAAAAAGGTGAATTAAATTAAAAACTATTCTATTAACAAATTATTAATATCAACCTCAAATTGAATTAAGTATGAATAAATGAATGTATTAAAATTTCTCGTTATTAATTTCTTCTCATGATTATTCTTTCTCGTTTATTTAATTATCCGTCCTCGAAAAAAGAAATCTCAAGTTTATTATTATTTTATTTATTTTTTTTTTTTATTTTAATTTTTAATTTTTTTTTTTTTTTGTTTTTTTTTTCTTTTTTGAAATAAATCATTAAATTATCATAAAAATAAAATTAATTATTTTCGTCAAGATACCAAAAAGCAACAAATCAAAACAAATAAATACACTTGTTTTGAAAGTTCCAATTCAGATCATGGCGATAACACTCAAAGCTTTGGCTAACTGTTCGTCCTCCAATAAACCATTGCTATAATTTACACCTTTCAAACCACCATCTTCATTAAAATAATTTATATTATTGTTGTTATTCTGATTATGACCTTCAACAACAGTAGCAAAAGATTCAAATATAGAATTAAATTCATCAGAAGAAAGTATTTGATCATTTTCCAGTATATCCATTTCCATCGGCGGCGGAGGAGGAGGAACTAATTTACCATGAGAAGAGTATTGTTGAATAGGCGAGGAATATTGAAAATATTCCGAGTTAAACTGGTGAGTTGAATCAAAATGAGAATCCGGATAATATGAATCATAATAATTATCGTTATTATAGTTATCGGAATAATTCACATCATCATCATCATCATCACCTTCATTGTTTTGAAAATCCCAATAATCGTAAGAACTATTGATATCTTGATTTTGATTTAATATATATTGCAAGGAACTTCGTCGAACATCAACCCCGTTAGAAGGATCATTGGTGCCGTTGTTAAAATCCGTGTTATGAGGACTTCGATTACTTATATTGAATAAGGTTGAGGATTCAGACATTGAGGAAGTTGATGTCATTTCAATTATTATTTTTTCTTTTAGGCGATTTGTCAAAAATCACCTTATTTAGAGGTTTTATTAATTTAAAAATGTAAAAGAATAGTTTTACGAACAATTTGCATCAATATTTTCTTTAAACAAAGATTTCTTTGTGGAAGTTTTCCCTTGACTGGATAATTAAATACACAAGAAAAGATATAATATTAAATGAGACGAGAAATTTTTAACGTTAAGTTATTAGAAAAAAAATTAAATTGTAAAGGTTTAATGCTAATAGGGAAACAAGAGCGCACATACACAAAAAAAAAGGCTTTTATATTTTTTTTTTTTTTTTTTTTTTTCCTTCTAGTTATCCATATTTATCATTTAAATCTGCTATATAGAATGTTAGTGTCACTCTTTTTTAAGTCGATCGTCAATCGAAAGCTTTAAAGTTAAGGTAATATTAAAAAAGATTGGTAAAGAAGGTAAAAGAACGTATAATCTTCCTTATTTGGGCATTATTCCAACAAAAATAAAATAATAAGTGCATATAAAACAATTATGGCGTTAAAAAAAAAAAAAAAAGTACTCCATGAACGCCACCTTAACATTTTTTTTTTTTTATATTAATCCATTTTGATCTTTTGACTATATTCTTTCTTATTCTTTACGTGTGAAACATTTACTATATGTGGTTAATTCCAACATTTTGGAATCGTTTCTTCCATTTTACTTTTGATTCTGATTATCGAAGGTCAGCTGTTCCATGATGAATTGTTCAAGGGGTCCATTCAAGATTAACTTCCCACGACCTATCCTAATTGATTTTTTTAAAAATATAAATCAGTTGATTCGTTTGTATGAGGTTTTGGGGTTCTTTCAAAACCTGATTGGTGGATCCCCTAGATCCCAATTTTCCTAACAAGGATCCCATATTGTTATTACAGTTAATCCTCCGACAATTTTTCTCATCATTATTGTTATATTTGCATTTTAATCATATTTTTTATTTTATTTTTTTTGAAACCTCTTTCTTTGTACATCAAATTACGTCAATAACAAAAAGATTCTCAAGAAAAAAAAAAAAAAAAAAAAAAATTCTTTCCCCAAGATAATCTTTTTTTTTTATATTAAGAAAATCCAAATATTCTTTGTTGATTCAAATAAAATCACTCTACATGGTTACACGTATTAATAGTTTCAAATCTTATTTTAATTACCTTTTCAATATTCACTTCTTTTCTTTAATTAAATTTTACAATTACTGATTTCTTGTAGTTTGTGGTTTGTAATCGTAAATCTGCATTCTTACATATAACTGCATACTTACTTAAAAACGTGATCGAAAACATTCTTGTTCTTTATATTTGAAACCTGAAAGATGTTACATTTAATTTTTTTTTTTTTATTAATAAATCTCGTTCTAATCAAACAAAAAAAGATATTGTCTTGCGTCACGTCGATTTTCGTCAGAAATGGTTCATTGAGAGTATTACCATTTCAAAAAGGATTCATTTTAAATTTATAAAGAAAAAAAAAAATAAAAACGTTAAAATCAATTATTCTCCCTAATTTATAAATTAGGCTGAAAAAATTTTTCTTTTTTTTTCCCCACGAATTTAAGAAAACTTTGATTTATTAAAAGTTCTTTTTGCATCATGCATGAAATAATAATAGGATTAGGATAATAAATATGAAATAAAATGTGCAGTAAATATTACTAGACATCTATAAAAATAAAATATTTCCATAGGAATTCCGTGTATTTTAAACGATTACATTACCAATTAATAATTAAACAATCGATTATTGAATGGTAAAACGTTTTTTTTTTTAAACTTTAAATAAAAGGTTTTTTATTTAATTATATTGAAACGAAATAAATAAATCACTATCTATGAAGTTATACTACATGTTAGGCTTAAGTTACTAATAAACTTATGGAATCTTTTTTATAAACACATCATATTACTTTTTTACACGATTTTTTTTTTTGATTCCGAGAAATGTGACTATAAGAGTTAACTGTCATTATTTAATTCATCAGTAAGTTACAGAAAAAATGTATATCGCATGTTTATCATTTGCGGATCATATACATCGCAATTTACGTTATTTTAAATGTGCATTACACGTAATATTTAACGTTAATGAACATCATTTTATCATAATATGCAGTATCTAATAATGAAAATTCATTGAACATCAAAGTGATTTGCAAACAATATCAATTATTAATTCGAACTGAATACCCGGAGTAAAATTTTACTATAATAAAAATATGATTACATATTATAACGTGAAAATATTCACAAAAAATTCATTGCTTTTTGAAAGTCGTGGTATTATATGCACTGGTTCTACAGGATAAATTCACATTGGGAAGTTTGAACTAACCATGAACATTCATATTATATGAAATATTGACTAAACATAGCATTAATATCTTTTTAAACATAATAAAATGGTAGTAATTAAAATGTTAGAATAACTGATGATTCTAACCTACCTTTCCAAAACACATGCCATTGCTAGTAATGTAATTTTCAATTTCATTATTATGCATATTAATTGAAATATTATCAAAAACTGCTTGCTGATACCAATTAGAATTTGCCCAAATGGTATTACTACTGGATATTACTGAACCATACCATTTAATAGTTATAGTTTCATTGTTTATATCATTATTTGCGATTATATTATTTGTAAATTTTTCCAAAATGTTAAAATATCTATTTAACATTGTTAAAAATTGATCAAAGGCTTCTAATGCTTCAGATGTTAAAACATTATTAGCTTTGTATATTGTAATAAATTCATCAAGCAAAAATAGTTTAAAGGTAATAATTTTACTATTCATTATTGATTTAAAATGTTATTTATTTATGGATATTATTAATTTACTAGAAAGTTGAAGAAAATGTTTGATTATACATTATCATTGTATCTAAACACAACATCAGTTAGTAATATATAGTATATAATACTAAAAAATAATCAATAATTATTTAATACATTTCTATTTACTGTATGCAACATTTAGAATATGCATCCTATCTATTACTTATTCTATAAAGATTCTTTACCTATTTATTTTGTAAGTTACAATGATAAAATTATTTACTGTATTATATTTGATAATTAATATAATAATATGATAGACTCAGTTATAAAATTTGAGTAATTACAATTAAGATAAGAACTTTTTAAACCCTATTGCACATTTAATAGTAAGTGATTATAATAGATTAAAATATTATTTTTTTACATATAAATATGATTATATATGAATAATAACATTAATATATACTTATTTTAAAAGTTTTTATATCTAATTTTATAAATTTATCCTTAAGAAAAAATGTATATTTTGTTTTAATCAACATATAGTTGAACTAATTGTTTATTCATATTTTTAGCTTGTTACTTGATATAATCAGTTTTATGTAATGTAATAATAATACCATCAATAATAAATATGAATTGCTATATATTACATAAAATTTATCTACTATAAATCGTTTAATATTATCTAACCTATATTTAAATAATTTAAATCTTACAATACATAATATTTTTGCTAATCAATTATCAAATTCTATTACACTATTTGAATTGCACTATTCTGTTAGCAATCCTTATAAATTCAACTTGATATTTATATAGATTAAGATTCAAATAGTATATTCAGTCTGACAAATAAATCTGAAATATATTAATTGTCTATCAAATGAATAAAGTAAATTAAAATATATATTAGAATTATAATATTTAATAAATTATTTATGATAATTTTTAAAATAGATTTAAATAATAATCCATTTATTAATATACTTTTCATTATATTAAATATATATAATTAAATTATTAAATAATCAATTAATAAGTTATTTAACTTATTTTTTAATATTATATATTTATAATATAGTATTTTATAGTTAGATAAGTTATATGTTAATATTATAATGTAATATTCAGGTAAATCATCAAGTAATATAGACAGAAATAGTTAATATTACAATATATTATTATTAGTTTGTAAATCAAGATTACTTATAAAAATATTAATAATCATGACATCTAAGCTTAATTTATAAAAATAAGAAAAAGTTAAGCTTTTGATTAAGAAAGTTAAGCTTAATACTGATACTATTTACAGCTGATTTATCATATTTTCTGATCAGTATAAACACATATTAATAAACACTAATTAATACTAATTAATACTAATCAGACATAACTATTTGGCATTAATTCAAAACTTAAGTTCAACTATAAATCAGCCTAAAATTAATCTCAATTTAGCATTAATTTGGTATTAATTCAGAACTTAAATAACCATAAATCAGCCTAAAATTGATCTCAATTTAGCATTAATTCAGTTAAATAAGCATATAAAATTAGTACATTATACAATATCATTGTGGGGGTTTTGAGACGAAATCCCTTACCCCTACTGACATTGTGTGCTCTATTCTCTTGTAAAATCTATATCGATTTTTTAGTCATACGATTTTTTTTTCGTTCCAATTCCTCCATAAATAAATCATACAAAAATATATATCAGGAAGTATGTTAAATGCTTCTCAGAGGCTAGAAAGTATAATAAAAATTTTTGTCTCAATTCCCTCACAAATAAATCATACGAAATTTTTTATCCCAATTCCTTCACAAATAAATTATACAAAAATATATATCAGGAAGTATATTAAATGTCTCTCAGAGGTTAGGAAATATAATAAAAATTTTTGTCCCAATTCCCCTATTAATAAGTCATATGAAAAATAATTCATACAAAAATTTACAAAATAAATCATACAAAAATATATATCAGGAAGTATGTTAAATGCCTCTTAGAGGTCTGGAAATATAATAAAAATTTTGTCCCAATTCCCCTATTAATAAGTCATACGAAAAAAATTTATACGAAATAAATCATACAAAAAATGTATATCAGGAAGTGTGTTAAATGCCTCTCAGAGGTTAGGAAATATAATAAAAATTTTTGTCCCAATTCCCTATTAATAAATCATACAAAAAATGTATATCAGGAATAGTTTCTACGTCATTTAGCGAAAATTTTTGTCCCAACTTTTTCTTAATTATATTCCCGATTCTAGTTTAAAGCTTTAGCCCACAATCTATTATAGTATTGGACAACATAGTATCCCTTGATATGTGATGGATACCAACCACAAGCAGAAGCAGTAGGTTTTTCGCAATCAGAGTATGGTACCCATTTTTTAGCTTTTCAATGGAACCAACACCCTTCGGGCTTAATACAAGCTCTCGTACAAGCCTTTCCAGAGTTGCTGAGATATAGGCACGAATATTCACTGATCATTTTGAAATGTATAGGAAATAATTAATTAAAGAAAAGATTTTATAAGCAAGTAATAGCGTGACAGTAAGAGCTAACGATATACCAAATGTCTGATGCTTATCCAGAATATATAGAAGAATTTAGTATAGAGATAGCTGATTTTAATCCAATTGGTCCTACAGCCTATATACCTTTACCAGAAGCTTTACCGAAACGTAATAATAGAATTATTAATATTCAAAATAATAATGACTGGTGTTTTAGATGGTATGTCTTAGGAGCTTTGCATCCAGTTAAGATTCATCCTGAAAGAAATCCGCATTAGCTATATGGAGGATTCATAGAGGAACTTAATATGGATGATATTCCAGTTCCTGTACCAATCTCAACACTAGTTTATAAAAAGTTCGAAGAAAATAACCATGAAATTAGTCTATGTGTCTATGAATGGCATAACCAAAATAAATGTCTAGACTTTCGTTATATTTCAGAGAGAAGAGAGGATAATTACAAGTAAGTAAATCTTCTAGTAATTACAGAGGAAGATAGAAGCCATTACTGTATTATCAAAGATTTACATAAGCTGGTATACAATCATAGTAAACATAAAGGGAGAAAATACATTTGTTGTTATTGTCTTCATGTATATTCTTCAAAAATAAGATATAATGAACATTTGTCAAAATGTAAGGGTCTAAATAATGTTCCTTAGCGATCACAAATGCTGGTAGGTAAAGGATAGGAGTGTTAAAGCTTTCTATAATCATAAATGCATGCAACCAAATTCATATCGCATTTTCTGGGATCTAGAAATGTTAACTGAAAAGTTAACTCCAGAAGAGATGATGAAGTTAACCCATACTGAAAAATTACAGATGCATAAGCCGTGTGGCTATTGCTATGTAGTTGTTCGTATAGATAGTTCACTTAACTATGAAATCATAAGTCATGATTTATATAGGGGTCCAGATGCGCTAGAAAGGTTTATCTTGTAAATTGAAGAGGAGTTAATAGCCATCCAGGCAGATTTATCTGCACCAGCTGAAATAATCATGGCTCCAGGAGATCTTAAGGCATACAAAGAAGCAACAGAATGCTGGATATGTAAGAAGCCTTTCCTTAAGCCATCACTGAAAGTATTACAGAAATTCAAAGAAGTAAAGCACCATTTACTAGAAATCAAAGAATGGGAAGCACATATGGAAAAAGAACATCCTGAAAAGAAAGAGATACAGAAAAGATACCGAGAAGCTTTAAGTGCATTTAATTGAAAAGTAAAAGATCATGATCATATAAATGGAAAGTACCGAAGCCCAGCTCATGACTCTTGTAATAAAAGTTGCGAATAGGTTCTTTTGAAACCAAAGTACCTCTTATTTGCCATAATTTCTGAGGTTATGACTCTCATCCACTCATGAAAGTTGTGAGCAAATTTATGGCTGATAAGCTAAAATGCATTCCAGAGAATATTAGAAAATACAAAGCCATGGATGTTGGCCAACTCCGATTCTTAGATAGCTTTTAGCATATGGGAATGGGACTAAATAAATTAGTTGAATGCCTAGGTAGAAAAATCGAAAAATTCCCTCTAACTGTTAAGTATTTTACTGAGAAAGGCTATTCAATAGACAAGATTAAGCTTCTTTTTTGAAAGGGCGTCTTTCCATATGACTGGACAAATGCATGGGAAAAATTCAACAGAACAAGCCTCCCACCTAGAAAGGACTTCTATTTACTTTTTAGTCAGCAAAATATTAGTAAAGAGGATTATGAACATACTCAAAAGGTATGGCAAATATTTGAGATGAAGAACTTTGGAGAATATCATGATCTTTATCTTAAGACAGATGTACTTTTACTTGCGGATGTTTTTATGAACTACACTATCATGTGCTTGAAAGATGACGGCTTAAATCCCTCTCATTATGTTTCAGCATCTGGAATGTTTAATGATTCTCTTTACAAAAGTAACGGGGTAGAACTCAAACTCATGACAAATATGGATGAATATCTAACTGTAGAAAATGGCATTCGTGAAGGCATGACAATGACAAGTCATCGATATGCCAAAGCAAATAATCCATAATATCCAGACTATGAGTCTAACAAGCCAAATTCCTGGATCATGTATGAGGATATGAATGCTTTATATTCAGATGCAATGACCCAATACATGTCTACAGAAATTTTAGATAAAGTAGCACCAGAGAAAATACCAGATATCCAAAGTATAGCGTCAGATGCAGAAATAGGCTATACACTAGAAGTTGATCTAGAAGTCCCAGTACACTTGCATGATTTCTTTGCAGATTACCCATTAGCGTCCGAAAAATAGATAGTTCCAGAAGACTGGCTTAGCTTATATAATGAAAGATTAGTCAATGATAAAGAAGTCGGGGATGGAAAATACATGTCCAGAG